CCCATATGAAGGTTCGTTCGCTCATGATCCCACCAGGAGTACCCGACTTCTTTACCAGATATCGGTGGCTCGAAGAAACATCTACAGTCGAACTACGAGGCCGAGCCTGGGCCGGTGGCACTACCATTGTGAGCGCCGAGGTGAGCACAGACGATGCAGTGAGCTGGTCTCCGGCTCAACTTGATGATGCTCCCGTCGGGAAGTTCGCCTGGATCGGTTGGTCCTTCACCTGGACGAATGTCACGTGTGGCGAGTATGTGCTCCGAACCCGAGCGGTCGACGCTCTAGGAAACACCCAGCCGGACGACGATGCCGCACACGACTATTATGCAATGGATGTCACAAAACCGCAGTATGTCAATGTCGTGGTCCTTCCCAAAGGTAGCCTCAACGCAGGAGCCAATGTCAAAGTGCCCATTCGATTTCCCAGTTATTGAATAAAGGTATTTTTCTCGCTTAGAACTACGACGATGTTTCAACTGTTCATAGAACTCTACAAAAAATAGAACGATCGTCCTTAACTTTATAAAACATGATCACTGTTTAAAAAAAGAGTTACTACGTTAAAATTAGTTTTAGATTTGTAAGTTGTGTAGAGGATATGATATTTTCTGCAATTTTTTTATTGAGAATTTTTTTTTGTAGTCAGTTCATAAAACAATAAATTGGGGCTTTTACGTTCTGACTATTTCTGGACGGAAATTTCACCATTTCACCGTTAAATCTCGTTCGAAAGTCCTTCACTTTCTCTAAAAAATGACTTATTCTTGAGTTTTGGTTTCGGAAGTACTGGGCATAGTCGAAGAATACTCATGCTTTAGTCAAGATTGATCAAACCATTTTAGAATATCAAGACATAAACTATTTCATCTACTCAATATGATTTTCTTGAAAAAACATTCTTTTACTTCAGAAGATTCCTAGAAAACCTTATTTTCTCTTGATGCTTAAAAATTTCATTGAACTCCATGCTATGGTGTACGTGAAACAGAGTGTCGTGATATCCTGACATAGTCTGGATTGATCCTGACTCAATTATAAGTTATCTAATTTTATGCGAAACAGGCAAAAATAGATTATTCCACCTGGTATAGATTTTTTAACTCTTTTCGAAAAACAAACATCGATAATCTATGTTTCTACTGCTTTTCAGAATTATCAGGCCTAAAGAAATATCGATTATGGGGCTCCGAGGAAATCTGATGCCACGCCTAACGCGCGAAAAATTAAGAGTTCACTTAATTCCCATTTCGAAGAAGAGACTTTGAACTATCTATCCATGATGAAAAACTAATATATTACTATGTCAAATTTCCGGTTTTCGGATTCCTTATAGAACCGATTTTTTTAGTAATAAGGACGGGTGCCAAAATGTTTCTTGCCTTCTGTATCGGTGGCTAGTTTATTGGGAGTTCGTGGGAGATGTTTGGGCGAGAGTCAAGTTATTCTAAATGAGATATGCCGATATATACTACGGACAGTGCGATTCTGAGAAGTTTCCGTTTCCTCTCGCTGCCAATACAACTAGACAGTAGAAGTGAATATTCAAAAAAATCCGAATGACCATCTCGTGCGTGAGCTTTCTCTTTACCTTTTTCTTCCTTTCTCCTTCTAAGCTCATTATACGTTCTTTTTTATATATTTTAAGGCGCACATATGGCGAAAGCCGCTTGCGCAATCGTTCTTTTTTCTTTTTCAATAAAAAGTTTATAACAAGTCTTATCAATGTAGCCAAGATGCAGGGAAAGCTGGTAACTTCTTTACTCGTTTCCGTTCTTGTTGAACAATGACGGAAATAACTTGGATACTCAGGTTTTCCAAGAACTTTTTGGGATGGTAATTGCTGTAAGAGTAGGGTGTTGATCTGCTTCATTATTTGCATGGATCATAAGCTGCACCATATATCACACGATTTCAAATTTACTTCTAAAACTGAAAAAAACATTTAAAATTACTTAAGTGCGTGCGAGTGAACTATGTTTAATTCTGTGTGATATGTTAGCAAATAAAATCAGACAGATAAAGGTGTTTACCATCATAGGCAGAAATGTCTGTATCAGTACATCTTTCATATTCTTCCTCCAATTTTGAAAAAAAGAGTTTGTCCTATGCTTTTAGTATGTTGTTAGACATAATTATCTAGTACGCAGTAATTGATTTTACTTTTGTATCTTTGTTTTAATTTATTATATTTTCTTTTGATTCCATACATATGGTTATCCTAACCGTATAAATATAAACACAGTAGAGACGTAGAAATAGTGATTTTCTTTTCTATTAGAATTCTAGCGTGTAGGTCTTCTTTTTCTTTTTCTATATGTCATATATTCATATCCGAATGTGACATTATTAATGTCGTATATGGGAGATAAAGGTAAAGACAAATACGCTAGAGTTCTATTTTGTCTCTTATTCAGGTTATATATAGTGTGTACGGACGTTAAAACACGGTTTCGTTGTCTTTTTTCTTCTCTCTTTCATTCGATCACGCATCATGACGTGTGGCCTCACAAGTTACCACGTGTGGTTACTAGTGAAACTTGCTAAATCTTTTTCTTTAGCTTCTAAACCTTTTTTAGTTAATATCGGGGAATAAGATGGGTCGAAATTAGGAAGTTTAGTAAAGGTCATCGAGGTCAGAATTGAAATTTAACATAGGTATAAGTTATGAATATTATAACGACATGACAAGTGCTGAAAGAGACAGATTATGTGATGGCACAAATCTGCAATCATCATTAAATCAGTTTAATCTAAACCAGCAACAGCAAAGTAGATCAACAGCTTTAAAAAGACTTGCAACAAGCGAAGGACAGAGATTTGATGAGAACTCAGATGATGAACAAATAAATAGTCAGTGGCAACCTGTTCACTTTAATAAACATAAACGTACAAACCAACTTAATGACAGAGATGATCGTCGGCAACAACAAATGACAGGCGCAAGAACATTTATAAATTCGAATCCAAATCAATGGTCATGGTCTGCAGTGCCTGGAGAACCATTTCGCGTTTCTAGAAGTTCTCTACATCACTGCGTGCGCATTTTTCAAAAAATGTGACTAAACAAAAAAAAAAGAAAAAAAAACTCCGAGCAATCGGATAATGTCTGTCGACATAAAAACATGTTTTTTGCTATTACAGCTACCCAGAAGCCTATAGTTTCTCTAAAACTTAATTTTCTCTTGACTAGATGTTTTTTCGTACTCGAAGAACATTCATTAAATAAATTTTCTCTGATGGGAAGTCGTTTCGTTGAACAAAACTCTTTTTAACAGAGTGGTGTGTTGGTTTAAGAATCCTCTCAATACATTTTTTTTCTAATGAATTTGAACGAAACTTTAAAGAACTAAAGTTCATAATGTGAACAAGTTATGATAAAAACGTTTGGCTATCATCTACGAACATTTCGGATTGAAAGCCCAAAATTGTTAACTGTTGTAACCCAAACATCTGCAGTTTTCTCCGAAACAAAGTCGAAATTGAAAAATCTGTTTTTCTTATATTATGCAATTCTGTCCAGACTTTCATGAACAAAAAAATCTACTTACGAAAAATTTAGAACAAATTTGAATTTCTGACAGCTCATGAAAGAAGAAGAAAAGTAGGTCATATAAATTATATTTTGAGAGTACATACAGAACTCTTTTAGTGGAGTGTGTTTAAGCAAATTTGAGTGCATATTGAAAAATGATATTTAGTGTAACGTCACCTTTTTCACAGTTTTTGTAGTATAAAGGTAGAATTAATACCGAAAATGCTTTATAATGATGAAGTGTAGCTAATCAAGATTCAAGTATAAAGCCCCTACTGTTAAAAGTGTTTTCATTTTTTCGTAGTTGAAAACACATGCTAGACACAATAAGACATTTTTGTGGAAGCATTTGTAACATTGCAAGCATTTGTCATTGGAAGCATTTGTAAGACGTATTAATAAAAACGATAACGCGCCATCAGTAAATTGTCTGTCATGGTTTTCATAGGATTTTATCTGTCAAAAAAATTTCGTTCACAGCGTAACGCCCTCTTCAGCAGCCACTGATTAACTAGCGCCATTATTCCTTTTATTTATTTCGCAAAGTACAAGTGTCAGAAAAAAAAATGTTGTTTGTTTACTTTAATACTTCAATTTTTATATCATATTATAATCGCAACAACAGTTAAGACAAACTTAAGACAAGTACAGACAACTCTTAACTTAAGCGTAGACTTAAGTCTAACTTAAGTTAAGTCTATGACTTAAGAATTTTTGTGAAACATTCAAAATTAAGTCTAGCTTAACTTAAGACAGAACGGAGACTTAAGTATGACTTAAGTCTAAGTTGAGCATTTAAGAATTTCTGTGAAACACCCTCCTATACTTCGTCGTCTAGACTTGCCATTATTTGCTGACAAATATTTCGAATATTGTTAATGTACCCATGTATCACATTCCTATAGGTTGCATCCCTTGCTTCTTCAACTAACTCTTCTTCTACAGACAACAAGAAATTCAAAAGTACAAAAAGAACTAAGTTCGCACCTTTGCAAACCTTTTTTGCGGAAATAGTAGCAGAAGAAAAAGATTCAAGTAGAAAAAAATACCAGATTTTTAAAGTTTTCATTCTTCTCAACTTTTTATAATCTGTGTAGTTTTCTTGATTGACGTTGAAAAATAGAAATACTGAGAGGCCGTACCCGTTACAATTCCTGAGAATGTGACAGGTGGAGAACATGAACAATATTCAAGATTTTTGCCAGGAAATAATTTAGAATCCAGGCTGGAAAAGCAGAGACTAATAGAGAATTTCAACCGCTGCCAGAATATATAATTACTTTTCGAAAAATATGTTTCTATATATATGATAAATTTAAAATATCGACTGAAAACATTTATTTCCAGGTGGATATAAAGATCATGATCACTTGTCCCGTTTTCGATAATAATCGGCCGAGTTACACCTTAATAATATCCTTAACCTTTTTGTTAGTAATATAAATGATTCTGTTTAAAAAACTAATTTCATTCAATCTTCATAATTGACGTATTTCCTTTTCACGTCTTTGTTAGCACTAGACGCTTCACATATGCTTTCCATCCATTGTCATTTCTAACTATTCGACGCATAGCTGTTATAATGAATAAAATGGCATTTAAACGTATTAAATAACTTCTTAATTTTTACACAATTATCTAATGGTCTAAAAGCAGTCATTTAATAATCTAAAGACTGTATCTAAACGTTTTTCTAGAGTTGTACATTTCAATTTTCATTCTAACATTGACATCATCAAGTTCTCTTTTATTAGCACATTATAGGCATTTTCTTCACTATTAATGCCTTCAAAATAATTATCTCAGTCGATTTTATGTCAGGTCTCAATCTCATGTTTTGCTAAAAACGATTTTATCTTGTCATCATCATCATCAGCCATAACATTCACATGTCTAGGCACT